TAACATAGTGTTTACAACACAGTTAATTTTTTTCTTCATGCAAAAAATTACTCTTACAGTAAATATCACATACACAATAATATTCATGAATTGTGTGTGTGTGTATATATATATATATATATATATATATAAACACACACACAATTCATGAATATTATTGTGTATGTGATATTTACTGTAAGAGTAATTTTTTGCATGAAGAAAAAAATTAACTGTGTTGTAAACACTATGTTAGAAATAAATATTTATCCAAGTTTCTATAATGAACAGTATTGTAAAAATTATTTAGGGGCTGACATATCAATCTCTCTTTCATATTTAAAGAATTGACTATAACAGTGTGCTAAACTCGTTTTATAGTGACACTTTTCAATGGAAAACCTTCATTGTGTGTCGTCTTTGCCTCAGAGGTCTTGAATGAAGGATGTATTATTTCTGTGTTAAGTGTATTGCATGACAGACTGCATTAACTAATGAGCTTTGTTTATACCCATACAGTGTTGCATGAACAGGTGTATTAGATTATAAACAGGGAGTGGCCTTAGAATTGTTCATGTACAGCTGTGGGAGTGTCAAAACCAGTTTCACAGGTTTATAATGTACCTGTACGTGTATATGTATTTTTTTACCTTGTTATAAAGAGGATGTACCTAGTGAGTTTTAAATTACAATATGAGTGTAAAGATTTTATTTTCTCATCTTTTTAGAATAGAATATTTTTTATTTTCCTCATTGAAGATTTAATTAAAATGTGCATTGTGTGTGTGTGTGTGGAGTTTAAAATATATTTAGGGTTTTAAAACCAATAATCACCTTTTACATTATTATCCTTTAATGTCATGAGGTTTAAATATTTGTATATATATGGGACACACACTTTAGCCTTGAATAATGAGTTGGGAATTTTGTAACACCATGAAGAAAGAATATTTCCATTCAAACATTTTAGATAAATAGAAAATATTAAAACATGTCTTTTTGTTTTTATTGTGTATCTCAAAATAAACTTGACACCAGAAGAATTGTTTATCTATAATGTGACAGTGAAAGAGATGTTATTATTCAGAAAAATCTTTCAACTAAACATATTGGTTTTATAAATATTTTAACTAGGTACATGTAATGTATTGTAAGTATATAAAGCAAAACTTGTGTGTTTTGTCTTCTATAGATAAAACTTTGTAATATTTCGTTTTATATATATATATATGGCCAAGTTGTGTGATGGTTTTGGAAGGTTTGATCCTGATGAGGATGTCTTAATAGAAATTTTTTGGCCATCACATTCACTGATACTTTTGATTTGGTTAAGGAAGGTTATCAGAAGTATAACATTGGATATTTAATTACTTAATACTTTGTTTTTTTTAGGCAGTGTTGTAATTCAAAGCTTATTTTAACATTTTTCTCATGTCTTGCTGTCCTTGATGAGTAGTATATTATTAGTTGTACACTCTCATAATTTTATTAGATAAACATTTACACCTAAGAGATGCAACTGAACTTTTTTTTTTACCTGTTATTGTAGGCATGTCAAACAAAGACCATATGAACAGCTTACCAAAGGAAGAGATTGAAACAGACATTCAGTATGAAAAATCCAAAAGTGTTTCAGAAGAAAATAAAAATTTAGGACTTACTGGAGATAATGCCACAGTTTTAGCACCTTTACTAGAAGTTAGAAATGAACAACTAAATGCTCAGCTAACACCAACACACAATTATGGTTTTTATACACCACAAAACAGCTATGTTGATACATACCTGTACAACAATCACAAAGAATCATCTGACCCATTCCTTGTTCTACCTCACATAGACAGTCAGGAAATGGTTAGAAAGGTTATTAAAAAGCGAGAACAACTAAAAGACTCTGATGAAGCCACAGCCATATCCTCTGGTCTACACATTCCTCAGAACACTGTCATGAAAAACATAGTGAATTCTTATGGCAGTGAAACAGTTACAAATACAGAACTGTTGTCAGACAACGTGTTACATCAGGGAGAAATAGCAAACATCCAAGATGTACAAGAAACTAAGGGTTCCTTAAATAATAATCTTACAAACATAAGCAATGCATGTAGCAGATGTGAGCCATTAATGTCTGAATCCCTAGAAAAGGAAAACAAATGCCATTCTTTTCTGTTAAGTGAAAATACTTTGGATGATGAAATGGTCAAAAGTGGAGATTATGATAGTGAAAATGCTCAAAATATGGAAGTTGGTTTTAAATCAGATGAAGCAGGAGATTCTGGATACATTGATGTTTCAGGAAGTGAAGCTTCTCCTATTTCTCCTCTTAGTCCAGATGATCAAATATTGATACACAAACCTGAAACTTCCATCTTAGTAGATGACAAGGTCTCAACAAAGAAACAGCTTGGAGAGTTCTTTTCCGACCTTTGGTATGTTCTGTCTACCTGGGTATTATTTTGCTGTGAATGTAATTATAGTGAGGAAATGTTGGCTTAGCTAGAAAATGTGCTTAGCCTCCAATACATAATGTTTATTATCTATGTACTTTCTAAATGATAGCCTATGTAAGTTTAGTGTTTTTAATTAGGAAATGCACATTTTTATAGCAATTCTTGTGTAACCTTGCTTTACAGTGTAGCATGACCTTGTATACTTATTAAGGTAGCATAACATATTGTCAAGGGAAGCACATTTGAGTTTACTTTGTTTAGCCTAACAATCTTATGTTTGAATAAGATCTCATGTAAGTTTATGTTGTTTAATCTAATAAGAGTCATATACTGTGAGTAAGATTTTGTCCAGTGGTGTAGTACTTCCAGAGTGAACTGGATCACTGCTGTGGCACACAGTGGTGTAGTACTCCCAGAGTGAACTGGATCACTGCTGTAGCACCTTAAGTTGCGGTTGAGCCCTGACACTTCACGAAACTAAAAATGCTTATATAAAAAATAAGTTATTTAATCTACTTCCAGAACTAATTGTCTTTCATAACCAAACTCTGAGAGTGTCAGAGGATGTTCTGGCTTTCTGTGTCCACTGGTAGAGCTAGCCCAGACTGCTCATCACATACACTGTCACTCTCCATCAGGAAGTGGTATCAGGCACCATGTGACTACTCCAACTCAACAGCAGGCTCAGAGCATTAAGTGGTGAAATGTTATTATGACACACAAATATGGCATTAAAACACTTTTGAAAATACATTTTACTATGATACTGTGTGTTTAAAATATACACGTTTTTGAAACTTATAATTTACATAATATACAATAAAGTCTGCTTTTGTTTTATTTATTCATGCTGGAAGGACAGGAGGTATACAAAGCATTGTAAAAATTAAAGTTTTTACACACTGTTTGCTGACAATTGTTACTAAAACTGAAGTTGAAGGAGACTAAAATTATTAGATATATATAGTTCCCAGTTGTTTATTCCTTACTTTAATTTAAATAATTAGTGCTGCGTATATTATTTTTATTTAAAATAGATTCGCAAAAATGGAAATTAGGTTTTGAATGTGAGATATTTATCCTGGTGGTAAATTTTGGCAAGGCTCCAGCACCACTTCTGTGCTCATGTCGGTTTACTTTGTTTAGCCTAAAAATCTGAATAAGAGACCGAAGTATGTGTAGCACAATGAGTAAGAGAAAATGTGTGTACAGCGCAAATAAGATAATTTTGTGTACAGAATTAATGTGAAAAAAAAAGTGTCTATAGGGTGAAATGTTTTATAACTTCAATAAACTGAATAAACAGACAGTAATTAAAATAAACCCAAATGTAACAACGTTAACTATTTAGTGCAGTCTGTGACGATAACTAAGATACATTCAATAAATAGCCAGTAACTAAAACAAATTTGCATATAACAACGTTAACCATCTAGTGCGATTTTTGATAACTTCGATTCATTCAATAAAGAGACAGTAACTAAACTCCCAGTGGAGCATAGGGCCGCAACAACACCTCACTAACGGAAAGTTGTTGTTGTTGCAGTTACTTGTAGCAGGTTGGTTTTTACGGGGTGGAGTTGCTAGCCCCGCGCCTAACCCTCCTCCTTTCTCATCCTGGACTTGGGACCAGGCAATGGCGGAGGTGAGCATGTTTGGTGTGACGGGGATTCGAACCCGCGACCCTCGAACGCCCTAACCACTTGGCCATGCCGGGCCTATGTAACAACGTTAACCTCTAGTAAAATTTCGTAACATTTAATAAACAACCAGTAACTGGAGCAAACCAGTTTGTTTTAGTTTAATGTAGCATTTTTATATCCATATTTTAAGTTTTTTGTTTTTCGTTAATGGTACAGGTGTAAACTGAAAATAACACATGAAGATTTTTATCACCAGAAATAACGTATTGTAACATTTTCGGAGTTTCAAAAATATGTGTACTTTTTTATTAACAATTCTTATATCAAGAAATTTAGGAAAAACGATCCTACCACTGATTTAGTTCGCTACAAACACGCAGTCATAAGTAATAGAAAGAACGTTGGATAAGTAATTGTGACAGGTTAAAGTATTGTAGGTTATTGGTGATGAGTAAAGAACTGTACATCTAATACATCATAATGAATTAGTGGTGTTGAAGCTTAAGAAATTAGGGATTAGTGTAAGATAATTAATACTCAGTCATTTTAATTTTACTTATTTGTTAAGACAAATGTTGCTGAAAAGATAAGAAAGTTGGACGACATTTTCAAGCTGCTGCTATTGATTTTCTTGTATGTGTTAGGCGTCCTGCTTCTTGTGACAGAGTTGACTGAGCATGCGTTATCTTATCTATAGCGTATATTACCATACGAGAAATATAGTAGCTGCAGAATAAGAAAACAAAATAAGCAGATATTTGTGTATTTCGTGAATTTGAATTTTTGTACAAATTCTTGTGATATACACCGGTTATCACGTTTTTATTTTAAAATCTGTAAACTATCATATTCTCCCTAACGTCGTAACACACAACGTTATTGATTTAATTCACCCACGACAACCATGTAGTCTAGTGAACTGCGAACTAGAATAGTCTTCTTTAGGTGGTATCCTTCATTTAATTTCTCAACTTCATCGTTTTAGAGAAAAACAATAATATTAATTGTGACTGTATGATATTTATCACCATATGATTAACGTACATATTGAACTTGCTAAAGAATCAAAGTTGTGTGAAATGCCATCAATTGAATGTGAAATTTCTGAATATGCGGCGCTTTTGTACAAATATAAGTCTAATAATAATATTCAGACGTAAGTTATATATATTCCTTTGTTATATATATGTATTTTTATCAAGTTATCTGTTCATGGATTACGTATATGTAAATTAGTAGCTATTCATTTTATGATATTACCTCCATGCTACTGGTTTTGGTTATTTTTATTGTATTGCTGATTTAATAGTTTTGTGGAGTTGATGTATCGCTTACGTAGTGCATAAATGTTAGAAAATAATCAGTATTAGTAGTATAAATAGTAATCAAAAACTACATTTGTGTGGAATATTCTACTCAGTGGAAATAAATATTATATTGAAGGAATGAAAATAAGGATTACAACCTGAAGAAAACTGACAAAGTGGTTAATGTGGAGAAAGACAAAACCATCATACATGGGAGACTTTCCCCAGATGATTCAGATACTGCTAAGGACCGGTAAATATTTATAGATATTTTTAATTCATGGAAGACTTTCCCCAGATGATTCAGATACTGCTAAGGACCGGTAAATATTTATAGATATTTTTAATTCATGGAAGACTTTCCCCAGATGATTCAGATACTGCTAAGGACCGGTAAATATTTATAGATATTTTTAATTTCATGGAAGACTTTCCCCAGATGATTCAGA